AAAAAACACAAGTCCGAATTGAAGTAGAATATGGGCCGGTTGAAGAGACTCTGTTGGGATTCGAAGGCCTTCCAGCGAATACTTGAAACAGGAAACACATATTTCGTTTTCAAGCTAGATCGGTGCTTCAGCCACGCGTCGTATTCTGGTACCATTTTTACAAGATGCATGTGTTTCAAAAGACTCTGATTTTGTTTTATGACAGATAACTCGTCTGCAGGAAATAGAATTGTCAAACCAGCAGCTTCCAAATCTTCGTAACTACGATGCATCGGTAGAAGAGGAGGATGGGTGAGAAAGGACTGCAGGTAAGCTTGGTAAGTGGTGTTTGTAATGATGCTCATGAAACAAAGCAAAAATACGATGAACTTTATTTTATAGTTCGGCTGAGCTGCTAGCACGAAAGACTGGCCCAGCATGCCGCGAATGCTCTGATCGTTTAGAAAAAGGTTGATAAAATTGATTTGCTTGCTTTTATTGAAACGAGTAAGCAATGCGGCGAAAATTACTATAAACACGAAGATATAAAAGAGCATTGGAAATCGTACGATGGCAAAAAACAGCTGATTTATGGGCACATTTTCCGGTAGCGGCACCATATAGCAATAATCCATCGTCTGCACTGGATACGAAAGCTTTTCTAAGTCGTCATTAGGTGTCACAAATGTCATGCCAGCGGCTATATCGATGGTGCCGTTCTCCGCGAGCTCCTGCAGTACTCCGTAAAAAACGGATTTTCCCACTTTATAGGGATGATTTATAAACAGCGTCGTATTACGTCTGGCTGCGAAAACTCTTAGTGTTCTACCTATATACCCCTCCACCTCCACATTCCCATCCGGCTTATAGTACAGCATAGAGCGCGGTTCAAGTTGATCGGGATAAATTAATATTGGCGTACCGTACATATTCTGGAATTGCTGCTCGAAGATGGCGCTCGAAATCATACCTGGAAGTTTAAGACTTTTCTGTTTGTAACGAGGCGCATCCAGCGGAAATTTGTTGCAAGTGTAATAGTTTTGGGTTGCACTGAAATCCCTTTGAATTATTAAAACATTGTAAATGTCATTGGCCATTGCGTCGAGGCAATATTGTTTAACCAGCTCAAGATCGGTTACATGTGGCGCATAAGCCACTATGCGCGTTTGCTTCAAGCTTCGAAACACACTGAGCTCTGTTAATCTAGCAGTCACGCTTGATTGGTGTAGGCAGAGCAAAATCAGCAGCTCTTTTGAGAATTGCGCCTTGTAGGTATACGCCAACCTTTTGTTCAGAAGTACGACAGGCATCGATATTTCTTTAAGAATATTATCAAAAACGCAATCATCTGCCGATGCCTGGCATATTGCGATTGTATTGAAATCGCGTTCCATGCGGATCTCCTGTAGCAGTTTTAGTAATTCTCTGTTCATTGTGTCGTTACCGGCAGATAAAATTTGCAAAAGTTTCGCAGATGTCGGCGTAACTGCCAGCAAAAAAATAAGCACGAAGCACTTCAAGCGCACCTTTGACATGGCAATCGAGTGCAGTGAACGGCGTGACTAGAAGAACTGAGCTGCGCTAATACTCACCTGGCCATTAATGGATATCTGGGTGTGCATTGCGTGGAAATATTTGAAGTTCATCTATAATAACCTACGTTTACGCAGAAACGTTTTTGGCATGACCTTTTTCATGTTTTTTTTTAAACGAGACACGCTAATTATATGCTAGGCTGTGACGGCCCTGAGTGTGTTTCTGCAATGAAATCAAAAATCAGAAATCATAAACGAACAGTTTTTACAATATCTATAATAACATAGATTGATTTAAGCAGATGGGTTGTTGTGTGTAAACATGTAAGCTCTTATTGAGATCAAGTTATAGACCAGGGGTGGTCAACAAGTTTTACTTCCTGGGCTAAACGACAGCAACGAAAATAAAAATTTCAAAATCGTTTCCGGAATAAAAAAAAAACTAACAACAAAGCAATGCTACAAACCTACAACTCGGCTAATTCGAACCAACACGACGCAGCAGTGAATAATGGGTGTGCTCGAGCTATGTAATAATTACCGCAATATTGCAGCCTTATTGCTTTCTTGATGATATGCTACTGATGTGCAGAAATTGCGCAGAAAAAACTTTTACATATATTGCTTTTGATGTGCCAATGATGAGCAACTGATTTTCAAAATTTTGTTCCTCGAAATTTTCTCGTAGGAGCGTGATGCTCTTTCATAAAAAGTAGCACTGCCTAAGAGTTTCAAAAGTTAATAATCAGTGTTATCTCTCCACCTTTTGTCGTGTTTTACCCCAAAATTTACAGGGCATACAATTTTTATTTAGCTGAATAAATTGGCACTAAATTGTGGCATATATGCCAAATCAAATGGTAAAATTTGTAGTCATAACCAGTGTTGATATTTAAGATTTTTAAATTGTACCAAATTAATGACAAAAAGTGCAACTTTTGGAGCTTAATTGTACTTTTCACCATTTCCGTCAATGCATTACCTCCCTTTTCCCGCAACCAAACAAAACTAATTTTTTTTGTCTACTGCAGTGTGTTTATATCATTGAGATCTCTTCAGCTAGCCTATAAAGTCATAGCCAGTTTTGTCAGAAAGTCCCACTAAATTAACCTAAGTTTCACTAAGCTTAAAGTTTAACTTAAATTATACACAAATAAATTCTTGAATTATATTTCACATTTTTGCAAGTTCACCCCGCGACAAAATGCTACGGTCACCCGGCTTGGGCTATTTATTATATTTTTTCCAAATTAATTTTAATTATTATTTTTTTATAAAAGTATAGCTCATTGTCTAACCAAAACTATATAAATAAAACTTAATTTAAAATATAAACAAGTAAGAAAGTCTAAGTTCGGGCGGAGCCGAACATTAAATACCC